AAAAACAAAAAGGAATTGTAAAAGATCGTTTAGTTTCGTACATAGCCATATCCGCATGCCACATTGGCTGTTGGGCGATAAACGGCGACTTTGGTTCGGACAATGACGTTCAATGTAGCGTGACGGGATGATACGTTGCGGGTGCCCGACCACCCGCTGCTAAACTCCTCTGGTGGGCGACTATGGGGACCGCACATCATTACCCACCGTTGTTGACACTACCTTATAAACGTCGTCATTCGAGCTCGGGGATATGTGACGGACAGTCAACACCGTAATGCAACGTCACGGTTGGGAGCCACCACTCGATTAGGGTAGTACACTGTTTGGGTGCTAGGAACACATCCTTTTGGAACCAATACAACTGATCAAAGAATTTTAAAGTTGTTAATTTATAAACCAAGTGACGTTTCGGGTTTGTTCGATAATATTTAAAAAAAAGAAAAAAAAATAACATCATCGAATTAATTAAATGATTAAATCAGGTTAACTTGTTTAATGCGATAACGTGTTGATTATAAAGATTGGAAGTAAAGAAAAATTTCGAATTTTATATTTAAATACTTTAGAGACCGAGTCGAATAAGATATTCAATACAGTATCTATTAACTTACATATTGCATATTTACACATAAATATACGTAAAAGACTACAAACGTTGATAAATCCGTATATCGACGTTAAAAATTGATAGAGCGTTTTCGGAAGTGCACAGGGTCGCCGGTTAAATTACGTATGTAGTGAATGGTAAACGGAAGCCCATATAAATAAGTATCGGTTCTGCATTGGGATCGACAAAGTGTGTGTATGTGTGCGTGTGTGTGCGTGTTAGTAGTAGAAGAGGAAAAGAGGGTGGGAGGAACTCGGAAACGAGAGAAGTACATATACTACGCGTTTATATACGTATATAGATTTTCTATAAGGGAGAGGAGTAGGAGGAGGAGGAGGTAGTGGTAGAGAGATGAAGGGAGGTTAACAGAGAGAGGGAAGAGGTCGACGGGGATGAAATAATGGGGGCGGACGGCGGCCGAGTCGAAACATTGATGTTGCCCGGTGCGCTTACAAACACACCGACATCAATCGAGCATGGCCCTTCCAACACAAAACCAATCCAGACGAGTCCGTTGGCTAGCCGGTGGCGGCCGTTCGAGTTTCGAGGGATGAATAAGGGCTAGGATGACGGAGGTTTAAGAGAAGTAAGAGAGAAAGAGAGAGAGAGAAAGTATAGGTAAAAGAGAAAGATGGTACACAGGGCTTGTGTTCAACGTCCTTATAAATGTGCAATGCGCGTACTATGGGGTAGGTAACTGGAAAGGATGAGAGAGAGAAAAAGAGAGAAAAGAAAAGATGAGGGACAGAGAAGGTAGGACTCAGCAGGATGGTCTCTCGTATCGATAAACGATCAATCAACCGATACACCTATGGACGAGGCCATCGAGAAAGATAAGAGAAAGAAAACGAAAGAGCAAGATAGACTGAGAAAAAGAGAAAGAGAGAGAGAGAGAGAGAATGGAAAAGTGTAAGAGGTGGTGGAAACGTAGGTGGAAGCAGAGAGAGAGAGAGAGAGAAAGAGAGTTGGTAAGAGCGAAGGTAGATGTGCTCGGTCTGTCGGAGGAGAAACAGGACGAAGATGGGGGAAGGTGGCAAAAGGAACGAGAGAACGCTACGATGGAGGGTGAAGATGGGTATGTGGGCGGAGGTATGGAAGGGGTTGCGCGGGAACAGAGAGAGAGAGAGACGAGGGGCGAGTGGTGGTTCCGAGGGAGGGTGCTGGCCTGCCGAGTATCGACCCGTTCTTGCCGAGGAGAAGGCAGCAGAGCCTAGGGTCGCCGTCGCTGGGTTTTGTGTCGCTATAGGAGTGCCGCGAATCTGTCTATTGGACGAGCACCAACGTGCAAAGATGCACTCCCCGAGATTCCTCCTGTTTCGAGACATTGACATGGAAAAAGAAATATCACTAAGATCAACATTTTATTTGCTGTTTTTCTTTTTTTTCATTTCGCTAAATGTCTACTACAAATAGTTTTATTTCTTTTCCCCTCTTAAGAAAACTCGCCGATCAAAGCATTTTTTATTAATAAAAAAAATCAAGAAATTAAAATAAATTGAAACATTAAGACAAGGTTATATCATAAAGATGATATATTCTTAAGAACGTGAAAATGTTGAGGTAAAAATAAAACTGTCTTTAAATATATATATCATACATTGTTAATGACAAAAAGAATTGTTTCTCCTTGTCAAGAAAAGAATGTTGAAAAGGGGAGGTGAAAGTCGAATTATCAGGACGAAATATATTCCCCCTAGGATGAGGCGTTCCGATGGATGTATCACGATGGCATATCACTCACGCTCCGTTAATCGCGTTAACGAGCCGGATCTAGGCAGGAAGAATGCGTGACCGTGGAATAAGTCCTCCTCTTCTCGTCGGCTCGTTATACACCTATCGACGGTGATACGTAGTATGTACTTGCGCGCAAACTCACATATACCTGCTCTTTCTCTCTCTCTTTCTATCTTCCTCTCTTTGTGTCTATGAACGATCCCCTTTACGTGGCTCTTCCAACCCCCTTTTGGTGTTCCGTACGGCATTCAAGTGCGCATGGTGTGCAACAATAGATCGTGCGCGCGTACTTTCTAAGTGGATCTGCCCATTGTGGGGTCGGTCAGGTGGTTCGTCGTTGCTCGACGAAGAGCCCGTTGGCTGGCTCGGCGGGGTGTGGCCACATAACTATAGCCACAACGTGCTTTCTTCTACCCTCTCATACTACTATTTCTATCTTCCTTTTTCTCTCCCACTTTCTATACTCTTCTTGTTATCTTCGTCTACATTCTACAATTTCAAAGGTACGATGATCATTCCGTCTCGCTCAGAATCAAATCGACGAGTAGAGTTGCCGGGGTGCTTTCTCTCTGATAACAATATGTTCTTTCTCTATTTCTCTCTCTCACACATATACACACACACACTTTTCTTCTCTTATCCTCTTCGCAACCACGATGTTAAAAGAGGGATAGGAATAGGGATAGATGCTACCAAGCAAGCGCATCGCGTCGGCCTATTACAATGGCCAGCCCTCCTAACCGTTTCATTGTTATCTTCCTCTCTCTCTTTCTCTCTCTTTCTATCTTTCAGTATTCTCTCTGCCCATGCGTCGATGCGCGCGAACCATTGTTTCGTCGAATGGGCGGCTCTCGACAGCACCACAACGACGCCAACGCCATTTGCACCGACCAACCAGCTTAATATTTCCTTTTCAACCAATCACTTACTTACGATCTCCACGTGCGAATGTCAAGTCTAACGGACGAACCCTAAGCTCTTCTCTCTCTACCTCATTCACCTCCACCTTTTCCTCCTCCTCCTCTTTCTTCTTCTTCTTTCTTAATTACTGCTAACGTCATTATCGTTGGTAGAAGGTTAAGGTAAGTTCGAATTTCCGATGGACAAGACACGTATAATACTAAACGTAAGTACGTAACACTCCTACCGTATCGACGAACGATGAAAAGAAGTAGGAGGAGGAGAAGGAGGAGCTTTTTAACAGACTTGACGACGCGCAAGTACTACGTATTTATGCCTCGTCGACCGTAGCGAGTCTAAAAAGCGTAGCGAACACGGTTATCGCTCTAACAGCACGGCACCGCACCTACTACCTGAATATGAGCCTCATGGTACCATATAGAAAAGCTGTTGGCTCGGTGATGATATTGCCAACAGTTTATATAGAACGTCTCATGTCTCTGTAAAATGATGGATTTGAAGGGTGGAGAAGGCTACTTGGTTCTCTTTCTCTCTCTTTTTAGTATACATCGGCACCGAGAAAAGACTTACGTTGGTACCCACATCGACTTCCGCATAGAAGCTCCTCGCTCGAAAGAAATAAACGAGGCCTCGACTTTTACGTCCTTAATGGTTCCGAAGGGTAGATACATCATCTTCATCCTCAGCATCACCCGAGACTCCCCGCGATGACTTCGATAATGAGACCGCAATTAAAACTCTGGTGAGTTACCTACGTCGATGATACGAACCTTCTTCCTTTCCACAACTTCATCTTTTCTTTTTTTTTTTCTTTATGTTTCAAAATTTATATATCGCCAATGCAGTCTTTTTTTCTTTTTATCATAGGATATACCGAATGTTTATTTAGTTTTATGAATGTATACATATAGTAAAAATGAACGGAAATATGATAACGGTTTTAGTGACAATTAAGTTCTGTTGCATTCAAGAACCGGTCGAATGCAATACTACTATGTAGAAAACGATTTTGTATAATGAACAGTTCACTGGTATCGTATACACGGTAGCGGCTTAACATCTCTACGTATACTTCCTATAGAATGTTTCGGATCATGTTGCATAATCTTCAGAATATCTGCAAGGTAATATCGAGATGGTAACGAAGAACATATAGGCGAGCTATTTGATTACCACAGATTATCACGATTGATAATACTTGTTCTTTAAAAAAATGATTAAAATTACCGTGACTCGAGGGGATAAACATTCTTCCTATCGATAGTTAAATTAATATTAATAGGTATTTTCAAATGAATATATTACATATATATATTTACGTTTAAAAAACACATGACATTTTTAAATTGAATCTTAACATTCGTAATACATTATTAATATTATTTATATATTGTCTATGTTCAGTCTCAAGTAGCTAACTAAACTTATAGCTCGAAATGATTTATATAATTTACACTGTTTAAAATTTCATTAAAAATCTAGGTAAAGTAGTCCTTGGTTCATAAAAAACATCAATAGTAATGTGTTAAAATATTAAGAAAGAGTCATGCTTTTCTCAAACTTGATTTTCTTCATTAAAAATTTGTATGGCAAGTAATAAATGTTAGTTAGTGATTTGTGACTGAACATAAAACGATATATAATTGTTAGATATAAAATATTCATTATATATGATATCATTTGATAGGAATATATAGAAAAAGTTAGGTTAGGTACTAAGTTAGGTACTAGTTAGTTAGTTACTAAGAATCGTAGTTTTCTCGTGTCTTTCGATGGCAATGTTTTTGATATGTTCCCACATCATAGGATAAGGATATATCGTACGAGCAAAGTCGGCACGGTCGAGTCGATAAAGTTCGCAAATCTCAACAGCTACTACGCTGGCGACTCTATGTTCGTCCGCCATTACGAGAGCTATCTCACCGAAATGAGCACCGTCCTCAAGATGGCAAACTTCTTTACCAGAAATCGTATAAATTGCAACTGTACCGCTACCAATAAAATACATGCAATTTCCTAGTTCGTTGGCTCGTACAATTACGTCGTTAGTTAAAAATATTTCCGATTTTAATAAAGCAACTATACGATTCAAAAGAACCATTGGAAGATTATTAAAGAATGTTACATTTTCAACGAGTTTTCTACACGAGTGCATTATTATTTCTTGACGTATTTGCAATGATAACGCATTTAATATATCAGATTCTTGAAAGTAACGTCGTTGAAAACGAAATTCATAATAATTGATTATACGACGTTGAGTATAACGTGGAAGTTGTTTGTGATGCATATATTTTGTCAATTGACCAACAGCACTTTGATATCTCAATTTAGATGAATTTGTTCCTTTAAAATGTTGCATCAATCTTGCTATAAGAAACCAAGTTATTAGAGTACCTATTATTTTGGCAATTATTATTACGTAAAGATCAGGCATATTTTGTCGATCACTTTCATATAATCTTGATCTCAGACAATTTCCAATCGTTATCATCAATGAAAAGAGATATTGTATGTATTCAGATTCGTACCAAAGATCGATCTCATGTATCCAAGAATCGATTCTAGGATAACGTAATTGTTTCATTGAAGTAGTTGCAATGGGTACTAACCAGAAAATGCAAGTTATCCAATGTAAGAAAATAAATAACCAAAAGAATATGATAAAAAAATGATGATAACATATTAATGTACTTTTAGAATGCGTTACTTTGCCGATATAAACGTTTAAAGAAAATAATCTAAATACACAAATCAATGAAACTACTTCTTGAGTTACTTTGTATTCGTCCCACATTTTCACAAATATCACATCGGTCGGAAATGAACCAAGAAGATCGGTAAAGAACGTACCATGTTTCATGTATTGTTTTATAATTTTTTTCCTTTTCATCTGGATAATAGATTGGTTTTTATCCAAGTATCTGATTAAAAATAAATATTTCTCTGTTATTTGATTCATTTTAAGATAAATTATTTAATTGTTTTTAAGTGATTCATTTTGGTTGTATTCACCCGGTAGATAAATTAATGATCATGTCTGCACAACATAGAAGGAGTAAAGAATTTTTAATTATTTTTGAAATAAGTGTCTGTCGAGAAATACCAAATGATGCCTGATATGGTACTATCAATGAGATAATTGTCATATCAATGATTAACAAGATGTCCCAGTAATGTCTGTGCGAACGAATTTAAATGCGATTAATTTTTATGTGGGAAAAATTTTGAAAATATAAAAATTTTATTAAATAACTTTTAATTTAAATTAATTTAAATAATAATCAATATTATTATTACCTAAAATTACTGAAAGGATGAATTATTTCCTTGTTTTTACGAATGTGTTGACGTTTTTCACGTAGTATTGAAGTACGACTGCGTAAATATCTTTGAGCATTCGGATTTGTAGATGATATCATAAAAAAGCTATGACAATAATCTAAAAATTTTTGTAGACGACCTCTACCAGGAAAATACAATATATCCTGATCCGATGTAAATATAGATCTATCGTCAAAAGGATGCATTTTATTTTTTTCAATATATTGAACTGTCAAAAAAATAATTGTAAATTGTAAGAAACAAAAGAATTTCAATTCATTTATATAACATGTTAAAATGTTAATCTACACGAATAGAAAATTATAATTAACAAATCTAAATAATAGTAAAATATATGTAGTTATAAAAATTACTGATTTTGTTTGCAATTGAAATAAGACAATTTTCAATTTCTCAGATACTCTACAATTGTATTTAAACAAACTCGAATAAGGAAAAAAAATAATGAAAATAAAAAGAAAGAAACAAAAAATATAAAATTGTTCTTTAAATTCTTACTAATTATAAACTATTTAATTTACTGATTAATGTATTAAAAGTTCTACTTCATAATAATATATTGCATATACAAACTCCTCTTCGATTCATTGACTTCAGTATGTGGCTGCTCCATCTGCGTATTTTTTTAGCACGTTGAGCTTACTACGGGTTATCGATAAGATACGAAAAACCATGTAACTTCTTCTTCTTCTACTTTTCAAACTGGAAATAGTCAATGAAAGCAAGAAAGTAGTATTTTACTTTACCATACAAACACAAGTTGCTCTTGTAGAAAACTTTATAACCCATCAGGAAAGAAGAGTTCTAGTTTACTGATACTCGGTTAGAAGATAATATATTTTTTAGTAGGTTTTTGTGCTTTTAATTAATTAATAAAACATTTTATCGATTATTCAATAAATAATAATTTTATTTGTTTGACTAATCGTTAATATCAGATTTTAGTATTACAATTTGGTCGGTAAAAGTAGATTCCTGTAAATCTGAAACTCAAAGAGTAGATACCTGGCTTATTCGATTTGAATGATAACCCAGTATACATTTTATGTAATAAAAAAAGACCGATTTCTTGCTTACCGATAAACCGTAAGATTGATTTTAGTCTTGCTAATAATCAGTAAAAACAACTTCTATTTTACATTAATTAATAAAATAACAATCTGTTTATTAACTATTAGTTGATATAAAAATAATATAATTAGTCTATAATAGAAGTTATCAGGTAATCGTGAATCCTAGTTTTTACTAACATCTTGCAATTTTTATCATCGTAATTATGTATCAAAAATTATTGTCAGATAAGAAATAACAAAAAAGAAATTTCAAACATTTTACTTTATAATAAACAAGGAAATACTAGAATTGAAAAATGTAGATAAACGTGGAAGACAAATCAATAATTTTATTTTCAATTTTATTGGTGAGTAAAAATAAAACTTTAACATTACCATTTTGAAAGAATTAGAATTCGATTGCGGACATACGTGAAATGAATGTCGATAATAGATATTTTCCCATAAATTATTAATTTGTTGCTTAAAATAGTTGTTATTGATAATGCCTAAACAAAAATCAATAATGTATATTTTTGCAGTTTATCAATTATTGATAAATAGATTTAACTGATATCGACACATAGTAAAATTTCATGTTGGTAAGAGCATTTTCCTGCTTTTAATTGAGAGTTTCCGATCCTTTTAAAAGGCAGCACGTAATATTTTTGTACAATTAGTCATGTTACATATTACAGATGATTACAAACGTTTTCACACCCATCGCATATTATTTAATCGAATTTATTTATTGTCATATTGATGTCTTCGATTTATATATTCTTGAATGCTTGTAATAATTAACACAAATTAATATCAATAAAAGTCACATTAATAATATTTCGCCATTACAGCTAATTGTTATTCATTGTTTATAATTATTAAACGATAAAATGCAGAGAGTAAACGCATTAAACATTATTATTCATTTAAAAAATATGATGTTCAACCTTTCGCGTTTAGATCCTTTCATACTTTGTATTCCACGTCTAAGCAAAATGCTAAGCAAATTAGCGCTCCCAAAGCAACGTTTGCCTTTTGATGCTTTAAATTTCGAATCTTGTCTCGTGAATAAGTATTTTAAACTGCGTAACAAGCCTCAGAGTTTCTGAAACCTTCTCGTTGCTCCTTGCACCTTCGAGTTAATATGGTTTGCACGTTTAGCAAAATATCAAAGTAAATATTATATATTATAGAATTATATATAACACAACATATATTATAACATATATAATAAATAATATATATAAATTTCATATGTTTTCTTTTTGGTTGTCTCACGGTTCCCACCTCTTTATGAACAATTTTATTTAATTTTTAACATTAAAATCATATTCTACGATCATTTAAAAATTAAATCCATAACTAATTCATTGAATTTCAATCGAAACAAATATCGTTAATATGAATAAATTATTTAGTTTTTAACCCTTGATATATTACCATACATATTTGTCAGTTAATTGCCGTGTAATTCTTTTTTTTTTAAACAATTTAATTAACATATTTAAAATAAATATGCATTAATCTATATTTCAACATCAAAATTACATTCTCGTTAAAAAATACTGAGCATCTCGATTATAAACCGATCATTTATCAATCAGAACGTATTATAAATTTTTCATTTCACCCTTTTTTTTGAATATAACTAAAAAAAAAGTGTCATTATTAAATGACTATTCAACTTTTATAAAAGATTCAATATAGATTTTTCAATTTTCTTCAAGTGCTCGTAAAGATTATCGTAAAAATTCAAGACATATCTTTTAAAAGAATCTATTTGTTAAACCACATGAACAATTTAAAAGTCGCTATTTTTATTCCTCCCTTGAGAATTAAGAAAGGGAATGTGGGGGTGGATCGCGGTTTACAAGGCAAGTATATCGTCGAGATGTCGACTTATCCACAACTTTCTCTGTTCTTTTGTTATACGTTCCTTTTTTGTACCTCTCTCTCTCTCTCTCTCTCTTTTTCCACTTCTTATACCCTGATAATAAATTTTCCAGTCGTCCGCCAGCGTCCTGAAACTCTGGAACGATGTTATGGACGATGCTCGAGAACAAGAAGGGTGGTTATTCGGGCTGCCTTAGCAAACCTTCGCACATACTAACGTAGATTTACCGTAACCTATCCTTGTTCTCTAACGACATACGGCTGCTGTGGACTATTCTATGTCTAGTATATATGTATATATGTATTTATGTATGTATGTATGTATGTATGTATGTATGTATGTATGTATGTATGTATGTTAGCGGATTGAAATAGAACATAGTAATCTGAAGATCACATATGCTTGATTCTTTCTTCCTTCTTTCTCCCATTTTCTATTTTCTATCGTAAAATTAATTTTATTCTAATACATTTTGAATAATATTATTTTATAAAAATATGGCATATATTATTAATTAAAGGAAATAAAAAAAGGATCATCAATAATAATTTGTAAATAATCGATTTTATTTATGAAGCCACGTATGACGAATGAATTATAGGTATCGATCCAATGATAATCCGATTTATGAAAAATTGTATTTTTTGTCATTTAATTGTTTTTCTTCTTCTTTTTTTTTTTTTTTTAATGTTAGAATCAATCATGAAATAGAATGTAACGAAAATACATTTATGATATTTGAAAAGGGGGTAACAGAATTTCTGTTAAATGGAGTCGAAAATGTATCATTTTTATTCGTTACTGTAATGTGTATATATATATGTGTTCAGATACTAAATATATATAAGAAAAAGAACGTATTAGATGGTTGTTCTGAAAAGTTATGGTTGGTCTCGTTGCTGTATCAATATCTCGTTAGGAGCTACGACAGAAATAAAAGCTAGATGTTCGTTCTTACGTCTGACCGGCCAAGCAAAATCGTACTTTTCTCTATATCTTTCTCTCTTTATCTTTCTTTCAACCCCCCTAACCATCTTTTTCTTCCTTTTCATTCTTTGGAAAGAAGATACAGAACATACGCGATATCGCTTCGTACCAACCAACGTAACTCTCTCTCTCTCTCTTTCCTCTTTATTTTTCTCTTTTTTTTTCTGCCTTTTTCCCTCTCTTTTTCTTTCATTTTCTTTCAACTCTTTTCCTCTTTCTTATTACATTTCCTACGGATAGTGTATCGCTCTCTCTCTCTTTCTCTTTCAGTCAGTGTAAAAGACGAAGACTTCGTCGCTTGAAGAAAACTCGTCGATTATATCGACCGTATCGTTTCTACCAACGATGTAACGAAGATGGATTCGATAGATGGGTGAAAGAAAGAGATAGAATACAGACGGTTCTCGTTGAAAAGCGAAACGATAAAAACGAATTTGTGCTACGATTTGTGCTCGTCATCGGGGATGGAGGAGGAAAAGAAAAAAGGTAGTTTCAGTTTATCGTATGATATTATTACTTATATTACACTTTGAAAATGAAAATATCATATGAGATGAAGTTGAACAAAAAGAAAGATAAAATTTAGAAATATGAATTAGCTTTTAGAAACTTTTTCTAAATAAATATTTAATAATATTGTATACTCAGCTGTAAGTATATGTATTATTGCGTTAAAAAAATTTTTTTTTTTCATTATAAAATGACTTCGAAGATCTCATATCTCTGATAATTTAGCAACATTTGCATCTGCATGAAATATAACGTATCATAAAGTAATTAAAAAAAAATAAAAAAATAAAAAATGAAAAGTAAAAAAAGAATGACATTTGTTTATTCGGTCAAAAGTTATTGCATCTTTAAAATGAGTACGAAAAAATAAAAAGTACGTGTTCGATACGTTTTGAAATATTATTACGAAATAAGAAAAAAATACGTATTGATAAAAATATTTTCATAAAAATATTATGTGCACATGATACAATATCGATAAAAAGAACTTATTTTACTTTGGCATTAAAAAGAAACAAGGAGGTGTTTTTATTTTCTATGTGTATTTTGTTGCTAATAACGAAGTAATTGATAAGGGATCGTCATAAGACATGATCGGATGAGATCAAGCATACAACCGTATGACTAGGGTCGTCGTAATAATCCAAAGAGAATTCGTAGGATGGTATATCTGGCTTGTAAGTATAAGTTATTCACAAATAGCGTATTCTGTTCCTCATTAGAACAGAAGATTGATGTT